ACAATTTTTTTTGTAACTTTTCAACCAAACTGACCTGATAAGCATAAAACCAGCAATCAACTCTATGTTTGTGTACATATTAAAAAAAGGATTTTTTAACCCCGTCTGACCTGAAATTTTCTGTCTGAACACAACTAAAGCTACAGAGTGTGAAAAAATGTTTTCTGACCCAAACCAACTAAATCTCATGTTTCACTGACTGCTTCATTATTGTGTGATACTTTAAATCAGGTCCAGTGCAGAAAGATCAAGCTCTGTTGTAATAATAATAATAATAATAATAATAATAATAATAATAATGATAATAATAAACTGATGCCTAATTAATTATTTTCAACGTGATTTCTCAGTGGAGCTTTTTTTTTTCCCTCAGATCATTAATGTTAAAGGAACCCCACTGTCTCACACACTGACATGCTCACCAACATCACTATAAGAAAACAAGAAGGCTACGCTCCATGCAACACAAGTGTGCACAACACAAGTGGGACCATTTTTTTTTTTTAGGAAACTACGAAACAAATGCATTATTAGATTTGAAAAAAAAAAATGAACACATGATGAAACACACTTCATCAAACCAACAGAGGAAGAAGAAGAAAAAAAGATTTTTTCACATTATCTAGTCAGTGTTAAAAATAGAAATTCACCCGTTACATTTACTCTGCACTTTTTGATTATATACATTTATGTACATGGATTTCTCTTAATTATTTGTCCTTAATGTCTTTATCAACAGTTTACAAAAGAAAGAAAATTGCAATTAAATGCATATACTCTTCTAGAAAGATGTGCTTAGTAACTATGTTTTTTGTTTTTTTGTTGTTTTTTTTTTAAGTTGAAGCAGAGGGGATGTTAAGAGGAATGGGGACATTGCATATTGCTCTGCACTGCAAAAAATAGAATAAAATCCCTCAAAACAAGTGACTGAATTTAGTTCAGATTCTTCATAATGTTGCTCCTTGATATGACTTGATATTCTTCAACGAGCTAATTTTTTATATTTTTAAATAGTAATGAGATTTCGAAATCCCAAACCAGATTCAGCGAGTTGCTGCGGGGGATATTTTTTTGCAGTGTGCAGACCAAAAAACACAATCTGCCCTGGCATGGCATGCACTCAGCTCACAGGAAGCCTGCACATCCGTCTCAGTTATCACACTATGAAAAGTCAGATGTAAAACTATGGAGGCAAATCTGTCTCACCAGATTTTGAAATTCAAAAGTCTTTGAATTTCTAGCACTGATTTTTATTTACTTATTCATTTATTTATTTATTTTGCATTGAAATTTTGTGTTTGAATTTTTTGGGTGACTCTGAATTCCACTCATGAAATTTTCAATAACTCACTTCACTGTTATTTTTCAATGTTCCCAAATTAAGAATGAAATATTCAAGCTTTAAAAAAAAAAACTGAATTATAGTTATTCAAGTTGCTTCAGAATGAGATCCCAAAATTCAAGTGAAATACAAAGGGTTCTGTCTCCAATCAAACCAACATCCAGCCAATCGAGTTATGCTCCGTTGGTCATGTGATGGGTGTTGATTTGACGTTGAATTTTTCATTTTGAATTTGCGAACATAGAAAAATATCACTGAAATTAGTTACTGAAAATTTCAAGAATTGAATTCAGAGTCAAAAAAAATAAAACATTCAGTGCTATAAATCCACAGCCTTTTAAATTTCAGAATCTGGTCAGACAGATTTGCTTCCATATTCCATATGAAACATTTTGCTCTCACTTACTAGCTTTTCAGAGGTGGTTTCAGAGGTGGCTTTGCTCAGTGATCAACAATCACAAACAGGCTTCTACACATCCTGACCTCCCTTTCTTTTTTATTTTAAGGATCTGGTTACAACCTAGGTGAGCTGCATATGAGCAGTACAACTACCAGCTAGTGCTCTACTTCTGAGTTCAGAACAGCGCTTAGAGCGAGGTCTGCGTTATGTTGCATAATCAAGTTCAGCCCAGATCAGGAGCTGAAAAACAGCCCCCTTAAGACATGGACACCATGGGTCATAGCAGGGTCACTGGGGGTCGATTCTGTTTCAACTGTGTTTCAAAAATGTTAAAGTCTGAAAAATGTGCTGTTTTAGATTAGGAGTTTAGCACAGGCTAGAAGTTAGGGGTGTTGTGTCAGGAAGGTTTTAGACACAAAAGCAAGATTCTCTGTTAGATTGTATTAGATGCTAGTTTTTTGAGGCATTAAATTAAGTTCTGTTACAAGCTGAAAGAGAATTGACCCCCAACCCTGGTAGAAATGCTAGTGAGGAGAGCGCTTACTTTCCCCGTGGTTTAAACCCCAGGCACTGCGGACCCTGACAGCCCGACACAGTGCCAGGTTTCTCCCAGAACCACTGACAGACGGCCTGGTCCACTGTGACTTCCAGTGGCAGCCATGTTGGCTCCACAGCTCTGTTGCTCCATGGATTTTTTTTGTAAGGTCATTAAAAAGAGTGCAAATGGCTTTTGTTGGGTGTTTCAGGTAGCGTTTTAAAGGAGACAAATGCTTGAATTTCTAAAGAGTAAGACCACATTTCCTCTAAAGCTTAATATGAAGAAAAGGAGGCTAATCCTTTCTTTAACTTTACATCTCTTCCGCTCATCTCATCATCAAACATCCAAAAAACTCTAAATCTGCTTGTTGTGGAGGAACAGTGCCCCCCCCCACCCCCTTTCCTGATTTGTGCTGTGAAGCAATTCAGCAGATTTTCTGCCGTAAGCCTCCAGGTGGGTCACAATGTAAAATACTGAGAAGAAGCCTGCAAAGACTAGAAGGGATTTTCATCTCCTCTCAAGGCGATTTGTCTCCAAATTAAACTGTGACTTTTTTTAAAAACTGCTATTCATGGCACCTTTCACTTCCTGGTTTCAAAGACTAAAAAAAGCGTGCTAAGCGCTCGCTGCTGTGAGGAACATCCTTTCTGCAGAGGAGGAAAAAAAACATAAGCCTTCGCCGCAAAGATCAGGTTTCTCATGGACAAACAGCATTACGTCCCAGTGGAGACTCACAGTTGATCTTTGGCCAGACGTCTCCTCTGTCAGAGGTTCTGGTTTCGCCCTTACAGATTGACTTCGGTTATTAAGGCTCAACGGGCAAGAGGTAAAAGAACAACAAGTGCCCGGAACACACACTCGTAAAAATCTTAAATTCTGATTATGTGTTTGTCTCAAAACATGCACACTCACCCAAACACACACACGCGCACGCACACACACACACACACACACGTGAACAACACACGCAAAAAACACACACTCAGAAAAGCTCCCCTATTCCCTGCGTGAGAGTTTTACTTGTAATCTCAAACTATTTGTGTCTCATCTGTCTTTTTCACAGCCTCAGAACACAACTAAAGGATCTGAATTCTTTTTCTTTCTTTTTTTTTTTAAAAAGGGTGCCATTCTGTTAAAGAGTGCCAAACCTGGCAAAGAAGAAAAAAAATAAAAATAAAGACAGAACTGAAGGCCTTATTTCAAAAAACAACAGCAACAACGACGCATAAAAAGCAAATACTGTTATCGAAGAAGAACCAGAAAGATGTGTGCGGGGGGAGAACACGCAAACAACAATAACGTGATTGATACAATGAAAACAAATGAATCTTTATAAAGTTCACAGTCTTGTAGCTCCCTGTACCAGGGGGGGAGGGGTGGGGGTTTCAAGAGGGGTGCGGGGTGACAGGGGGTGGACAGGTCAGGACAAAATAAACTACGTTTAGCCTCAGACGCCTCAGATATGTTTGCCTAAAGAGGGGAAACGTGTCTGATGCGACTTCAACCGCCGTGAAGTAAAGACTCATACACTGATATGCACAGAGTTGGGAAGCTTTTACTTTGAAAATCCAAAGCTGTTTGGTTTTTTTAGCCCCATTTCCCCAAATGGTGCCAGTGACTTAGGAAGGTCCAGGGACAGGGACTTTTTTGGGGACTGGAACTATGGCTCAGAGAAGGGCTGGGAATGGAGCTTAAATACTTTTTCTTGGCACCAACCAAAAAACTTTCATAAAATTGAGCACCAAACTTTTGGCATCAAATGTCTGGACAGATTTGTCAACTTAGTTTTCCTTTTCTTTTGTCGTACGATTCCTGATTTTGATCGTAATTTGCCAGTTTTTCCATGTCAGGAGGGTTGGAAAAAAAGGTTCCTAAAAAGTTTCCTGGAAAACGTTCTTGTGGTGGAAAAGAGCTTTTTGGGTCTTTCACCTTTGCTTCCAAAAATCCATAATATATGACATTTTGGCTTCACATAAATTCCCAACTCTGGATATGTGCAGAAATGAAATTGTTTTTCAAAAAAAAAAAAAAAAAAAAAAAAAAAAGCAGCTGAAGAGACATCCATTTTAAGATTCCCCTTGTCCTTTTAGTTTAAAAACAACACACACACATTATTCCTCCTCTCGTCCTCTCCTCTTCCTCCTCTCCTTTGGATGGATGGATGGATGCATGTGATGGATGGATGAACGTCCCTGCCGCTGGATGTCCTTCAGTCCATCTTCCTCTTTCTGATGAGGAGACACATTATGTGACAGGTGGGGTTGAGTGGGAGGGTGGCAGGGAGGGGATTGTTGTGGAGCAGGAGGGGCGTCAGGTGGACGGTGGTGGTAATGACGATGAAACACACACAGTAAAAAAAAAAAAAGAAAAAAAAAAAGAAATCCTGTAACACACACACACACACACACACACACACACACACACACACACACAGAAACGAACAGACGCATTCCTGATGTTCCTGTGATTTCAAGATGAAGAGGAGGAGGACGAAGGAGGTACAGTGTCTTTTGATGGGGGCATAAAATCCGAAGAGAGTGGGGGGGGGTCAGCAGAGATGAGGAGGGAAACAGGAAGTAGCAGAGGTTCGTGTGGGGTGGGGTGGGGGGGGGGGGGGGACACTGGTACAAGATGTGCTGTGAGGGACTTCGAGACATCACGGGGTAAGAGGTTGGTTTGTAGGGAGGAGGGGGTCGATGGGGTATTGTGAGTGTCGGGGAGGGGGGAGGTCAGAGTTCACATCATGACATGGCGGCGGCGGTGCAGGGAGAGGTGGTCAGACCGGGAGAAGGAGCGGTCACACTCGGTGCAGCGGAAAGGTTTGATTCCTGTGTGCTTGCGGAAGTGTCGGGTCAGCTCGTCGGAGCGGGCGAAGCGCCAGGTGCAGCCCTCCCAGGTACAGTGGTAGGGTTTCTCTCCTGGGGGGGGGGGAGTTAACGGAAAGGAAAAGAATGAGAGGAAGCAACAGAAGGAAGGAAAAGGAAGATTGGGATACTGTATCAATGACTTACAGAAACAATTCTCATGTAATCCTGCTTTATTTGGTTATCTACTGTATTTTCCAAAATTCTCGAGAATTACTAAATAAATAAATACGTGGCCTTAACTGTGTTTGTGTCACTGGAAAATCCCCACCTCAACACAATGAACCAATCACATCTGCTTATGGCTTATTTACTTTTATTTGTTGTAGTAACTTTTAATTGGATGTTTGAAGAAACCTGAAACACAATCTAACAGCGGAAACCTGTTTCTAATCCCCAGATTTGGATGGATTATGTTGTTGTTGTTGTTGTTGTTGTTGTTGTGTTGCTCAGGCCTCACCTGTGTGTATCCTCCTGTGGGCTTTGAGGTGGGAGCTCTTGGTGTAAACTTTTTTACAGCCTTCATAGTCGCACATGTGGATTCGCCTTCTCTTGATGTCCGGCGAGTCTGGATCGACGGGCTCTAAGTCCATGACCGACCTGACAAATGAAAAAGGAGGCGGCGATGCTGATCACTGACAAAGACACTTCCTGGGAGACTGTCCTGTTTCACACAGTATTTCAACACACACCATGCTGAGTTTACGTCAAGCAGTTCCTGCTATCCAAAATAAGAAACACAATTTTCGTATGAAAACGGAAGAGACTGTAGTTATAACTTCAGGATCAACAGCAGAGAAATTCAAAACAAAGATATTAAAGCTGGAAAAAGAAAAAGGTGTCTGACTTTCATAACGACGGCAGTGACAGTTACAGTTTTGTTTGAATGTGATCATTCATCTCACGTACATGTTATATACAATTAGAATTAGATAGTTTGTCCATCAGATCGCACTGATAAATCCCACTCAGGAAAAACATATTGATCACAGCTAGTCTCAAACCAAATTTAATGGATCCTTATCAAAAATGTTATTGGTCAATATACCGTCAAGTGTCATGAAAATCCAGTATCTAGTAAGAAGAAAAGTACAGTGAAAAAATAAGAAAACATATTTGCAAATTACTATTTAACCTCATCATCTATGTGTAAGTCAGTTTTGGTAATTAATATGTAAATTCTGTGCTTCATTGAGGAATCATTTTGTCCTTGCTGTACTGTTCATGTTGTTCAAGCATGAAATAAATCTGCAGCACTGCACTCATTCATCTTTTTAAAGAAAATATTTAACCAGGTTTATGTTCTGGAACACCTGACTCTGCTGTGTGATTATGTGCTTTTGTCTCTCATCAGGCTCAGGTGTATTTCAGAGCGATCTTAGAGCCACCAGGGGGCGTGAGAGAGTCGCACTGCTCTCAACACAGCTGCACGACGGCGTCCACTTCAGCATTACTGTATCTCTGTCTATCTCTCTCTCTCTCTCTCTCTCTCTGATTCCTTTGTATTTTCTAACCCTGTCCATTTTTTATTCCCCATCTCTTGCACCAAAAAGAAACTAGCCGACAAACTAAACCCATCCACTCTCTCGGGTGTGTCCCTCTGCTTCTACCTCCTTCTCTTAAATCACTGTCTGCAACGTGATATTGTGATCACGGTGTAAATAAAGCCGATTTGAAAAAACATTGCTCTCCCTAGCCCTTTTACAAGGAGGTGTGACGGCAAGCTGCATTATGTAACCTTGTTTACACCCCAGTTTTGGGACAGCCCTGCCCAGCAACACACACACACACACACACACACACACACACACTCTCACAAAAACACATGTAACCACAAATACTTGTTCACTCTGTTTCTGTTAAATAGTATATCTCTTTCTATGTCTCATGCACACACACACACACACACACACACACACACACACACACACACACACAACTGCTAACCACACCCAGAAGTTCTGTTACAGTCAAGCAACCTCGCCCACTGGGTGTGGCAGGAGGTCTGTCCTGATCTTACTAATAAACACACTGGACACACTCTCACTCACACACACACACACACACACACACACACACAGACACACACACAGACATACACCCACACACACAAACAAGTTTGTGCAGATATCCTTGCTGAGATATTGCATTGACTTCCATTCATTGTGGACAGCCTAACCCAAACCCTGACCTTAACCACACCAACCCATGCCTAACCCATAACCTTAATCTGACCTCAATTCAACCTGCTTGAATTACCTTAGCATCACATGGAGGGAGCTCAGAAATGTTGTTTTGTCTCACTAGGACCAGGCTTTGGTCCCCATGAGTACTTGTCCCAACAAGGTCAGTGTTTATACCATAAAAATAGGTGAAAAACACACACACACACACACAAAAATCGAGCCGTGACTGACGCACTAACCTTCACTCTGCAGCCTTGAAGCCTCAAAACCAACAATCTTTCAAATATCCAACCTTTGCTGTCCTCATTTATGACGTGTCTACTGAGCATGCATAGACACACACACACACACACACATACACACACACACTCTACATACATGCACACACTTGTTTCCCTGTGATACAGCCAGGGCGTCTCCAGTGTGCTCTGCTGTACAGCGGGGTTATGTAAGGTTATATAAGTGTCCAGTCATGGCAGCAGTATCGCTGCAGTAATGTAATTAGGCAGGAGGCTGCAGGCAAAGCAGGAGGAGGTCCACACGAAGACCGCATTTCCCATAAACCCTGCTGTGTGTTATCTCTCTCGCGCGCTTTCTGTAACATGGACTTTTGACTCAGTTGACATCACGCTTGGTTTATGGTATTTATGTCGTATCAACAGTTACAGTCATCTCAGTTTTATTACAGAGGTGTAAAGATTTTATTTTATTGTAGTACCATGATTGGCCACTGGGGGCATGACTCTCTACGCCATGTCCAGCTCAACAGTGTCAGTCTCCTTGGAGAAATGGTTCAACATTTTTGGAAGTATTTTTTGCTTTCTGTCCAAGAGTTGAACTGTATGTAGAGTCCAAATTAAAGCGAACTGGACTGTGCATCTGAATATCTAAGAGGAAAATCCTTAAATTTGCATCCTCTGCAGTTGCAGGAATCTGGACAGGCTAACGTTTGTCGCTAGAGAACGATATCCCAATAAAACGGCTGATTAAAACGTCGCTCCACAGCACCACTGGTGGTCAAAATCACACCGTAGCTTTAACATTTTAACCAGCTCTGATGATCTAAGCTGAACATCAAATACATCAAAAGTTGTCGAGAAACCTACAGCAAGTGAAGCGTTTCTGGTCACTTTCTGCACATCTGTCCCACATGTGTTGAATCCCCCCACCCCACCCCCCCAGAAATGAACCATTTTCATGCATGAATGTTTATTATTATTCTACATAAACTCACACAACTGTGGGAAGAAAAAAATTGGTTTTCAAAGTGTGCCTAAATATAACTCGTGCAGCATGGACTCACCCTGCGTCAAGGCTCTGGGCGCTGAGGGAGGCCGATCCAGACTCCGTACCGCTCTCTGCATCGCTGTCACTCTGATACTCCACTGGAGACGTTGAACCTGGCTTAATACGAACTGTAGAGAGGACGGGGGGGGGGTGACGGCAGGAGAACAGACAGGAAGGGGGAAAGGAGGGATGTAAAACAGAAACAGTGGTGCAAATAGGAAGAAATTTTAGACAGATCGAAGGAGGGAGGGAAAGAAATTGGCATGAGGCCAAGTGACGGAGACAAATCGGTGAATGAAATTAGGAAATGGAAGAAGCAGAGCGGAGACAAGTGAGGGAGTAAGAGAAGGAGGGGAGGGGTGGAAACAGACAGAAGAGAACAGCAGGGGGTTAATAACTTCTTAAAAGCGATGCCTAGATTCCAGCAACTTAGCAAGACAAAGACTTGCTCCAAGTGTGTGTGTCTGTGTGTGTCTGTGTGTGTGTAGTTAGGTGTGGTCTGCTGAGCTGCAGAATCAATGGATAAAATTTCTGGCTAAACCCCCACGCTGGCTTTCTCTGCACGTCTCCTCGTTTTCTACATCTTCCTCAACATCTCTAAAACGTGATCACTTCCTGTCGGGAGAAACATCCAGTCATCGCAGCCCTCCTCCATCCTCTCCCCTCTCGACAACCTTTTACAATGTCAAAGCAGAAGGAAGACGACGTGAACAGATGTTAATGAAAAATATTCCGCAGAAGTCACAGACGATGCTAATTAGCAATTAACTGAGAGATAAATCTCTGGAGGCCATCTGAAGTCTCTGCTGGTTGTCCTCAAGTTTTTGAAAAGCTTTTATGAATTCAAACTAGTTTTTTCACCAAGGAGGGAAGTCAGTTTTAGGTTGAGGCCTCGCTTTTGAATTCTTCATGGCTGGGAGTGAGTGCTCGCAAGGTATTTTCTGTTGAATTCTGGGTCATTTAGAAGTTTAAAAAAATTCATGTTCATCTCAGCTAATAAGCAGAGGGAGCTCAGCCTGTTGTCTCTGGACACTCCGTCAACATGGGATCACACTGGATCACTAAATATGAAACGTAAAGCTGCTATAATCAATAGTTTTATATTAAGAGTGGATCAAATTACTGGATAAACTGTATGTGAAAGAGGTCGCTCATAGTGACGATCACCAGCCAGCTCTTTCAGGTCATCATGGTTTTACGGCCCACAAAGTTAATGTTTTGGTTCGTTCTCACGGCTCTCATCATCTTCATTTCTATCAGCAGTCAACAGCAGTTTTTAGTGAAAAGCTCTAAAGGTCTACACCTCCTCCTGAGCACCGAACGGCAGACAAAGTTAGCGATGAGCTGGTGAACACGTAGTGGAGCATTTACCTGCAAAACAGTTAGATGTTCTTCTTTTCTTTTTTCTTTTTTTTTGGGAGCTTAAAGCTGAGTGAATAATTTGACAACAGGCTGAAAAGCAAACAGCGTTTTGTTGCATACTCTCTCTCTCTCTCTCTCTCCGTACCTGCACCCACACCCAGCGGTAATGTCACAGTGTCGTGGAGCACACCTGTGCATCATCGCAGCAAGGTGAGAAGTTAAACCACTGAAGGTCAAGATTCTAAGAGGGTGTTAAGTTGCTCTTTAAAAAGGTCACTGCTCTGTTTAGCTGGTTTCCGCTGCCCCCCCCCCCCCAAAATAAAAAAATTAAAAAAATTAAAAAAATTAAAATAAAATAAATAAATAAAAATCAGCTAAAACAGGTTTAAAGTTTCATACTTAATTAAAAATGTGACTTTAGCCAGAGATCATGGACCATATTAACAACCTATATGTAGCATTAGTGACATGCATAGGTCAGAAATTCCTGGAGTCACACTGATTGATATGATGATGCAATTATTAATGTGGTTTAATGAACTTGAATCAGTCAAAGGACACTATGTGAAAAATGAGTTACTGAGTTGATATATTGCGATACTGTCCAGTCTGTGGTGAAGTAATCCATGCCAGGCTCATACAGCTGCACTAATTTACTGTATGTAGTCGTTTGGTAAACTCTCTCTCTCTCCCTGTGTGTGTGTCAGTGTCTCTCGCTCCTGCCTCGCTCCCTCTCCCTCTTCTTTTCCTTAAACTTCACAGGCTGCTGCTTATCAGAGGCGGGAAAACCGTTACGCGAGCAAACAAAGAACAATTTATGCATCAAAATCAGACTGCGGTGATCAATTATAAGGGTCTGAAAACATTATGAATGAAAACAGGAGTGCCCCCCCCCCCCTCCTTCCTCCTCCTCCTCCTCCTCCTTCTTCCTCCTTCTTCCTCCTCCTCCCCCTCCTCCTCTTTCTGCAGGAATGTGGCAGCCATACTGTTCAAAGTCCGCCCAGCCTGGTGAGAGCGAGGAGGGGTGGTGTGGTTGGAAGGGTGACGCAGGGAATTTGGGTGGAGTAGCTGCGTGTGTGTGTGTGTGCGTGTGTGTGCGTGTGTGTGTGTGTGTCTGTGTGTGTGTGTGTGCGTGTGTGTTAGAGTGGGGAGGGTCACACACCAAAAGAAGTGTTCTTTGTCTCTGGAGACAATTAAGCCGCCCCCACCCCTCTCCGCCATTGCAGCCTTCCTTTTTCAAAGACGAAACGACCCATCTCCTCTCCTCTCGACCCCTGCACCCTCTCTCCTCCGCCAGTCTTTCTCACCCCCCCCCCCCCCATCACCCCCCCGGTATCCACACTCAAAATCCCGAATCCACCCTTTCCTCCAATCTCCGGCCTTCACTAACCAGCTTCTCTTCCTCCATCTGAATCTACCTTTCTCAGTCCCGCCCCCACCCTCGCTAACACAGAACCACCATGGCACACGAACAGAGGATGTCAGCCGCCTGCTGCTCGCTCTCGTTGCAGGTAGAGGGAGTGAGAAAAGGAAAAGGAAAGTATCGAAGTTCCCATCATCTTCTCTCACTTTCACTCACTCACGTCTTCACTCTTTGTTTTCCGTTTCTCTTCTAAGACACAGACGCGAAAGCCTGTCTGTGAAATACAGCAACAAGACAGGATTTTAATATGATCTTCACGAACAGGTGGCTCCTCCGCTGAACCTTTAGACTACTCACTAGATAAGATCTTATTAGATTACATTAGTTCAGGGGGATGTTTGAATGATCCCTGTGAGAAAGGTACATAAACGATGACTTTACTAAGTGTAAGTTACTGTATCACAGTGAAATTTTGTAGTTTCCTGTACAAAATATGGGACTATTACTCGTATAGAAAAATGATGGTCAAAGCTGCCAAAAGAAGGCAAAGTTGAAAAGCAGACTACTTTGCAGTGCCACCTAACACCAGTTGAAAATCGTATTTTTTGTTTACCTCAAGCGCTGATGTAGAAAAAACAACATCACTGTTAAGGTGCGGCTACAGGTGCAACACCGTGAAACGAGCTGCTATTCAGCCGGGAATTAAGTTACTGTTCAGCACCAAAACACCAACTGTTTCCACTTGTTGAAACACGCAAACAAGCCAAAATGCCAAACGTAGCTTTCAAAAGCACAAATTAATTAATGTGATGTAAATGGTTGTGAAACACAATAGTTGTTTGACAGTGAGGGTTATCTTAAGTGTAAACAGAGAGGAGGAGATTAGGGAGGGAGTTTGCTTTGACAGGCGGGAAGATGCGATTGTTGAAAAAATGCTCGACTTGTTAGTTACATCTACTAGAGCTGCATGACGTCACCACTGAACATTATTGCTGCAGCGTTGTTACTGTGACAGCAAAACCACAAAAGTCACAGAAATGACTGAGCATGCTTTAACTTCATTTGATTCCCTGAATCTGATACACGCCACATTCAAAGGTCTTGCAGTTTTCAGGATGGGCTGACTTTCGTGTCTCAAAGTAATGATGGATTGTCTTTCTTTCTTTAAGTGTGTCCAAACTTTTGACAGGAACCGTACGTCATAAAACGAAAAGGGAAGGAGAGGGGGAAAGCAGAATAGACTGCAACAGAACCACGATACGGTAAATTGGCATTTTGTCAAATAAAGAAATTCCTCTTTTGCTCTCCCTGTGTGTTGCTGTTGCCCAGGTGAGCACAGTGACATGAGCACCTGTATAATTTAAAGCAAATCCCACACATGACACATACATATATGACTTCTATTCTTATATGTACATTATATATTATATATGTGTGCATGATATATTTCTGCGGGCACAAATTATCAGGAGCATGCCGGAAGAAGTTTATACAATTCTCTAACAACTGAATACAAAATGTTCTTATGCCTGTTTTGGAGATTTTTGAAAAGCATGCTGGGAAACAACTAAAGAGGCAGTTTGAGACAAAGTAAAACTAAAACACTCTGACACAATAACTCGTCACAGGCCGTGAGAGAGAGTCCGGTCCGTGTGCTGCAGAACCTTCTGAGAATCACTCGCCTCCCTCGTTTACATTCCTGAGTCGGGGCCGCGATGGTCTGGATTTGAACTAAGGTTGAACTGAACGGGCTTTACTGAGGGACTTTACTGCAGTTTATCAGCGGGGCGGAGGCCTGATTCGCCAGCTTGCCTGAACAAATGTTGAGCTTCCCCTGGTGTTTACTCAGGGATGGATCACTCCTCCTTCAACCTCTGCGTTTGTCATTGTTTAATCGATCGACTGGATAGCCTGAATTGTTTAAGACGCTCCTGACACGGTGACAACAAGACAAACTCTGATTTCACAGGGTTTTTCTTTCTCACGGGTTCTTCAGTATCGGTATCAGTATCACATTTTCACAAAGAGATTGATCGATCTTAGTGTCAGAGGAGGGCGGGACGTTTGAGGAGCAGATGTTGTTCAAGTAAAAAAAAGAAAAAGAAATCAAAGAATATTATTAGTTATTCACAACATGTACAGTAAACTCCTGTTTTGATTTATGAGACATCTTGAGACTTTCCCCTGCAAAATATTAGAGGATGGAATCAGCTGCTGAAACACTGACAGGTGAATTTCAAGCGGGAACTTTTTTTCTACAACATATGTAACATTTCTTTTCCAGAAGTTTCTTCATTTAAAGTGGGAATATCAATCATCTGGCACATATGGAGAGCATCCAGAGTGACAAAGATAGACGGGCTGACAGACGGCAAGTCTGACATGCCGCTAACCACAAACACACACCATCCACCCGTCGGGAGACACGCGCTGTATTCCTCTGAGATCGAGAGAGAAAAGACGGTGTGAGCGAGTGTAACAGCAGCACGGAAGAACAGTGGCGGGTGAGAAAGTCAAAGACAGAAAAACTGACTGAGGAGGGGAAAAGGTCCAGAAATCTAACAACCATCTCAAAATCACCCTCCTTTTCCTCGCATTGCAAAACTTTAAACCACCACTCCGTGTTTCGGTACCACCTCGACATCCTGTTTCTACACACGCACACGTACATGACATTAAAGAAAGAAAGATGCTCTAAATATGCCGTTTCACTGTGACTTAAAACGCCTTCCTGCCAAGTGTTTGATGATTATCACTGGTCTTAGGCGGCAGCAGCCGTCGTAGTATCTTCTGTAGTATTGGCACGAATCCTATAATGTGCATCGCTGGCACTGGAGGCCCCACGGCGCAGCACGACAACAACACACAACATATGAGGCGTCATATATAATATATATACCTGCAGTTAACGTAGTTGTAGTTGATTATTCGACCTCTCAAGTTTTTTTTATATCATCTTTTAATGGCTGAAAGTGGAGGTCGCAGTACGGTGGCCTAATCTGACTCACTGCTGCTTGTGTGTAGAATTATATAGAAACCAATGGAGAAGGGTGTCTGGACTTAGACTGATATTTACGTTGATAACACTGCAGCTGGTACTAGTGAGTATGTTAGCTTGTTAGCATGCTAATATGCAAACAAGCCAACTTGGTTCGAGAAACCTCTGATTCGTTTTATTGCTCAGTTTAACCAGGTCTGGCGTTTTAGATTAGGGACATCATCATCATCATCATCATCATCATCATCATCATCATCATCATCATCATCATCATCATCATGCCAGAGGAATGGCATGATGGGAATGGTTTGTTGTAACTGTTCACGATTATGCCATCTTCCTGGGGGGTTTCATTTGCACCACTCACCAGATCCTTCCGAGCGCCCGTCGCTGCCTATGAGCGGCACTGTAATGGCTGCCGTGGCGACGCCATCTGTCGGCATGGTGGTGTAAACAACAGGCAGCGACTGCACCACCACGGGGATGGTCTGCAGCTGGCCCACCTTGCTGGGCATGCTGACCGAGGGGATGGTGTGAATGACGTGCAGGATCTGCTGTCCCCCGGCGCCCTGCGTGGCCAGGATGGAGCCTGGGGAGAGGACCTGGGGGGAGAAGGGGGGTGTATGAGTTGTTGCTCTGACCCATTCTACAGCTTTACTATAAAAATGGAAGGAGGTTGTAGTTACCATGGAGCCTATCGATTGTACCGCAGAGGGGACCGGTGTGGCCGACAGGCTGGGTTGGGTCACGGCGCTGTTGGGCGCAGGGTTGACTGTGACGCTCGTTGTACAGGCGGGGAGCGAAGAGGAGCGGGGTTTGTTGAGGGACAGGTCGACAGGCTCGGTCTGGTCCTCGGCAGGGCACGGCTGGGGCGAAGAGGGCTCCGTCTTACAAACTGGCGACTCAGTCTTCACCTTCAGGTCTGTTGGCTGTGGGCAGTCGGTGCCTATGTCTGCCTGCTGGAGAGAACAGGGGGGACGGGGGCGGGACAGGAGACACATAAGAGAAGTTTAGAGAACTGATTGTACTTAGGCTGAAAGATGAAACTGATATTTGTCCATTTTCATGACAGCTATAGACAAAAACTTGAACCCCAAGAAATAGATCTATTTTAGGAAGAAAAGCCTCTGTAACATTATGATACTCTATTAAGTCAGGTTTCATTTCAGATCTTACTTACTGACTCCTGAAACTGGCAGTCAACTCATATCCTCATCTTAAGAGCACTCAGACGGCACAGGCCTAATTTTATTTACAAACTCCTGTACTAATTAGACTGGTGTAATCGCAGTTAAGTGGGGCATGCCAAAAAATGTTGATACATGCTGCTTTATTGTTTGAACAGCCAGTGGGAGCTAAATAATCCTCCAAAACAGAAATTATTTTGTTATTTTCCCTCGATGCTGTGACACTGAGCTGGAGACACACAGGCAGAGGAAACTGTCTCTGTCTGTTACACATTCACCTGGCTGTTGCAATTGATTGGATACCAATACTGCACATATTCATATATATTATAGGAGGTGCAAAACAGCAGGAGGTTATTTCAGATGTTCGAGAAGTAAAAGTTCTGTCTGCACAGACAGTGTTAGGAGACTGAGACAAGAAACTCTCCCGGTTAAACCATCAGCACCATCAGCTTTAGGAAATGTCTGGCGCTTTAGATAAAAAGTCGAAGGTTCAAGCCAGTGCATGTAAAAAAAAGTGACAAAGAAAAGTTAACTACAACTCCCAGGGTGCATTTTTTGTTACAAAACATTCAGTCATAGAGCTTACAGCTGTTCTGCATTTGTCCAAACATTCAACAGCTTAAATCAGTTCACTTCCACATTCTGGCTTAATGTCAGGATGAATTCGTGATTTTGAATTTGCCACAGGTCTGATTTGCTTCACTTCTCCATGATGACAGCTGCGGAGGCTCATGGGTACTGTAGTATTTACACCAATTAGCCAAACTAAGCTAACACAAGAACCCAATGTCTGATCTTATTGTCCTGCGTTTCTTTGTTTAGGTATATTAATATGTTCCTGAAACCTGCTCAGCCCTGCACATACCGTATATCTTTCAAGATGTGAAGTGACTTTTTCTATGAGGAACTGCTTCACCCTGACTAAATACTTTCATATAACTTGCATCAGACTTTTTCATACTACGCCCTGGTTTTTCTCAGCGTCCTCAGAGGAATGGGGCACCCCATTCGCCACTGGAGCCACCCAAGGCTCAGCTGCCATGTAGCTCGAAAAGCACAGGGAACAATGGCTGCTGTGTGGGACACTGAAGGGGGAGGTGGAGGAAAAAGAGAAAGAGAGAGAGACAGATAGAGAGAAAGAGAGAGAGAGAGAGAGAGAGAGAGAGAGAGAGAGATAGAGAAGGGCTGGGCGGGTATTGAGAGAGGCTGGTACAGACTGAGAGAGAGAGTGTAAAGAGAGACAGGAGAAATGGAGTGAGAGAGGGAGCAGCAGTGAGCCTCCAGTCCAGGAGCTGGCCCCTGTCCAGTTCAGCTGAGCATAGCTTGGCTCTGGGTGAGGAGGAGAGGGTGGAGACCACGCTACGCCCTTTTATCGGGTCACACAGTTCAGCTGGAGGCTGGGCTGTGTGGCGGTGGGTGAAGACACAAATATGGCCGGTAAACAGTCTCCTGCAGTCAACGTTCATTACATATGCAAATAAGCACCGTTACAGGAGCATATCAGTGGTTTTGCATGTTTTATAGTGCTTTAGAAGAGCTGTTTGTTAAACTCTCCAGGACTGTGCGTGTGATGTTCTCATCCTCTCTGTTTTACATTAGCGCTGAGAACATGTCACAAACAAACCTCACAAACAGAACCTGCACCGAACATGGCTGAGATAAGGAGGAAATTAAGGAGCTAAATGGGAAGCAAAGGAACAAGGTGAGAGGGAGCTGCTGAAAAAACATTACAAACAAACACACACACAAACACACACACAAACACACACACACACACCTGCACCACAAGTTGGCTGAAGACAGAAGGGATTTAAAGAGCTCTTACTATGTAGAAAGGAAAGGAAAGGAAAGGAAAGGAAAGGAAAGGAGAGGAAAGACAAAAAAGGGGGGATCAGTGAGGAAGAGGAAGCCGGGCTCTAATGTGATTATAGAGACACAGCTTTAAAAAAAAAAAAAAAGGAAAAAAGCAGAACAGAAAATCAAGTGTGAAAGAAGTGAGGGAGTGGGTGAGGCAGAGAAGAGAGAAAGAGACGAGAGAAGAGAAAGAGAGTGGGTGGGAAAGGCCTTGTGTTGCCATGGAAACTGGGAGCTATCAGCTGACTCCATGTTTTCCACTCGTTCCCCACCCACCACCAACTCCCTTCCCTTTCTCTCCCAGTCCGTTCATCTTTCCATCACTTCACCCCCCCCCCCCCCCCCCCCCGTTTCTCTCACTCTCTCTATCGTGGACCACACCCCTTTCACCTTTCTCTCCCACACCCCCACCTCTCCCTCCAGCATCTCTTGCTCTTTACATCAGCCACACCTTTGTTTCTTCCCACCTCACCCTCCAATCCCTCGTTGGCTTCATTTCCACCCACTCTCTCTCTTCTGTTCGTCTCTTCTCCTCCATTCTCTCTTGCACCCGGGGCCCCGCCCCCCTCTCCTAATACTCTCTTTTCCTCTTTTCACAGTTGCTCAGATTAAACCCACAACTCTTTGAAAAAATCCCCAGAAGAAGACACTGAAAGCCTGACGTCCTCTGGAAAAAATAAATAAATAAAAAAGGAACAAAAAAAACCTCACTGGACTCCTGCAAAGCTCTGTGATCTGAGACACAGGATGAGAAAGGAGAAGAAAAAAAAAAGGGAAGACAGAAAGAGAGAAACTTTCTGATATGAGGTCAGACTGATTAGCTTAAAGGGGAGGATGTATAGCAGCTCATTACCCAGTGGAAGAAAACACTTGACACTCTTCACGCTGAGCCACAGATGTTAATTTCGGGCCGAGACGAGAGGACACATCGGGCTCTGTATCAGAGGGAGGATTTTTTTTTATGCTGGGCTTGTACAAGAGAAGTGATTGTACTGAAATTTTACTAATTTCGTGGATTTTAAGGAGCTGAGTTAAGATTGACCAAAGCACATTTTTGTGATTAGCTTTGGTCACAAGACAATGGAGCCCTTTTTCCATAGCCAATTAAGAAATACTGACATTTAAAGGTCCCATATTTTACAGTTTTCCTGCGTTTAATTTGAAGTGATGATCCATAAGAAGATATATTTGTGGTTTTAAGAACCAAAAAACCATCTCAGTGTAGTTTTACATCTCCTCTCTCAGGCTTCTCTCTGGAGCTCTAGCAACAACAGGTCGATGAGCCAATCAGAAGAGAGGAGGAGGCTCTGAGGCTCTTTTCTGATTGGCTGACTGTTTTCTGAGTGATTTAATAAAAATTAAAAACACTACACCAAACACAAAGCAAATCCTAAAAGGTTGGATGGTAGGTCCAGGTGGGCAGGGCTTGGGGCAAGGCTGACAGCGGATACTGCATTGTTGTGACATCACAAGGTTACAGAAGTCCTGACGGCTCGTTTTAAGACTTGGTTTCTGAATACAGGCTGTGTGCATTTTCTGAGGACTGAGCGCTTTGATACTTTCAAAGTATTAATATAGAACCTAAACCTGCTCTATAATCAAGAAATACATGGAAATCTACCTTTATACAATATGGGACCTTTAAGCACATTTATTGTATTGTTTTGTACGTATCATTATGGTTTTCTGTTCAGGTGGCAAAAGTTTTTCGTCCACATGAATATCATCATTTGAATTTTGAAAAATAAATATGCTAATAACAACCATCCAAACCACCAAAAGAGCCTTTTTAAAAATGTATCCACTGACTGCTTTTAAAAGATCCAGTTTTCAATGTCAAAAGCGAATAAATTTATTTGGCTGATACTAAATAACTTGATTTACAAAAAAAAAAAACTCTTGAAAGTTGATTTGAGGGCAACAGCAGATGTTTTGAGCTCAGGAGACAGCGTTAAAATAAGTATTAAAGGTGGTACAACCTCACAAATATGTTGTCTATATTATAAAAAAATTACTATATACAGGTATTTTACCACAATACAACTTAATGGCTAGGCAGTGTTTCCTCACTGGGCTGGGGCTGATATTCAATGATACTGAATATCGTGATATTTCCCCCCATATGTGATATTTTTCATAATACGGATTTTTCTTTTCTTGCACTTTTGCACAGTTTGGATACCACTCGAGCCTTTCCCCCAAGACCCTTTATTTGCATATCAACACACGGACCCACGGTTTCTCTTTTCACACAAAGGAAGAGACTGAACTTCACTTGAAAGTACAGTGTAACCTTTCGCTGAAGCAGAATTCATTTGCATTGGTTGTGAGTCAGACAGTGGCACAGGATCATAAATTGACGGTCTCTGAAGCAATCACAACAATCTGACGGAGCCTGAACACAATCCACCTTAAAACAATAAACCTGACGTGTCTGAGTGCAACAAAACCAAAAACCAAAAAAAAAAAAAAAAAAAACCTTCACTGAGCTGTGACGTGTTGCAGTGGATCTTGCCAGAGTACTCCGCTCTCTCCCTCTTGCACTTCTCAGTTCAACTGCTCCACCATAAAATGGGTCACCCAGTCTTCGCCTTGCAATTAATTCATGTGATCTCTAACTTGAATGGAGGCGGGTAGCAGCTGTGACTGCAGTGGGGAGAGAGCCAGGCAGAGAGAAAGATGTAAAATGTCCAAAGGACCTTAATCACGCTGTCCTCACGCTGGGTCCCATACAGATAAAGTAATGAGTGATTTACAGTAGCCTTATATGTCCACATAGGAGTGTTTACATGGTACAGTAGGTATGATTACAGCTCATAACATCGTCGTATCAGAGACACTTCGGCCGCAAACTGAACCCTGAACACTGCGTCAGCGACTGTTTTTTTTTTTTTTATGTGACTGTGCCAATTTAA